ATCACCACACGCACACACACACACACACACACACACACACACACACACACACACAAACAAACACACACACAAACACACACACACACACACACACACACACACACACACTCACTCTCTCGCTCTCTTTCCCTACCTCACTAAACCCCTCAACATTTTCCAACATGTTCAGGGGGGCCTCTCAGTTCCACATCCTTCCAGCTAACGTAATTCTCTTATGTTCATTCACACAACATAAACATCTAATATCATTCTTACCTCTTCAATCATCGTGCTCCATTTTGACATTCCATTCTTTCCGCTTCTGAGAGGTTGTTAAGGCTTTTTAGATTTTTTTAAACGTGCGTTTTCTTGCTGTCCATACCTCAACTCACACGATCCTTCTTGTTTGTTTTGAGCCACGATAATAAACACAGAGGCGTGTTTGCACCTAGAACAGCACAGATTTTCCCTCGGCAAATAAGGTTAATAGTGTTTGAACTGCAAATGATTGTCATTCATTGAAGTGAAGTGAGCTGAAGAGAGGAATAGACAGGCATGCAGCAAACTAAAGCAATATTTGACAGAGGAAGAGAGTGTGCAGATGTCGCTTCATCGTCATAATAATAATAATAATAATAATAATAATAATAATGCAGATGATTTTTATAGCGCCTACTCTCGTAGAATACAACACTATGCACTTTATAACATCTTTTACGCTCTTTCGACGACGCTAAATATTAGCAAACATCATACTATCGTTCGAAAATTGAATAACGATATGTACACCACATTATGAACACAAGTGCACTAGGAATTAGAAGGATTAGCTATCAAAATGGATTTCTTATGCCCCCCCCCCCCACCCCACCCCAAATCTCGATTCGGCTCAAAATTATGGAATTTAAGTTGTAGGCGTTTTTAGCTTCTTCAGCCTCCCGTCCAATATTTCATAACATTAGAACCCCCAAAAGCCGTATTTCTTCCCATACCGGGCATGTCTGTCTCCACCATTTCCTCATAAAGTCAATATTTTATTATTCTTTATCGGCCGTTTTCTCAAAATGCGATTTTTCTCTATACTTTTTTTAATAACTCCACCATGTTTCATCCAATCTTCATGAAATTTTCAAAGAATGAAGAAAAGATGTAATACTAGACATATATATGTTGGAATTTTGATATATGGAATAGATTTTTTGTAGGTGGTGTCTGGAGTGCGGATTTTCACGGATTTTTTTCAAACTTGTATATTACCTCAGGAAAAAATTCATTAAAATGTGTCTAATTCGTTTAGGAAAAAATCAACAGTAAAATTTTTAGATCTAATGTGTGCTAACATGCATGCAAAAAAAACAATCAATTTCCATTAACCTTAAGTGCGGTATTCCTTACGTAAGACATGTTAACTAAATCGAATGTGGCCGCTGTATTCATAGAAACGAAACTTTTTTTCTCAAAGTTGATTGTGGATTTTAAGACTCCTTACTATGCTTGTTATATGTGTGAAATATGGTCAAATTTGGTTATCTAATAAGCGAGATAGCCTTCAGGCGTCCCCCCCCCCCCCCCCCCCAAACCACCTTAAGGTATTCTTAACGGGAATTTTAGATTTTGCTTTGGACTTTGGACCCCTCAAATGTTGTGGGAGAGAATTCCAGGTAGATGGAACTAGATGAGAAAAAGACCTCCCAGCGAGCTGCTGTTGTATTATTTTTGTTTTTTGTTGTTGTTATTTCGGTTTCGGTTGAGGTGTTTTGTTGTTGTTGTTGCTGTTGTTGTGGTTGTTGAGTTTTAATAATTCTGTTTTTGGGAGGACCATAAATTTGAGAGAAGTTTCTTAAATTTTGATACGATGGGGCTTTACTGTTAACACATTTATGGCGAAAGACAGTAATCTAGATGTTGTTGGAAGCCAATGGAGTTTACTTAAGTAGGTAGGGGTGATATAGTCGTTCATCCTATTTTAGACACGTTGATTTGGAAAGCGCTGTAGTTTCAAGATGGTGAAATTCGGGGGGTTTAGCCAAAAGAGAGGTACGGTAACAGGCAGGATTAGACGAACACTCGGCCAGACATAGTTGCGTTAGGGAAAATTTCGCCAGACTTTTCTTAAAGATAGTCGTGAGGATATTGAGAAGATATAGGGAAGAATAGTTTAAAAGGAGAAACTGTGACTTGGGAGGATTGGAGGAGGGGGGATGTCTATTCTTAGCTTATAGAAGACAAGTGAAGACTGAAGTTATTACAACCGAGGTTTTAACGGAACGATAATCAAACGAACGAGGAACGGAGAGGAATTCATGCTTCGTTAGTTATGCTTTCACCTCAACAACCAGGATACAAATTGCCATGACTCTTCAACCGTAGGGATGAAATGAAGTAGATCTAACGTACTCCTAGTTTGTTGCTAATATACGCCTATATAAAATATATTCTATCTATCTATCTATCTATCTATCTATCTATCTATCTATCTATCTATCTATCTATCAAAGAAAACGGCTGCTTCAATCATGTCTATCGTATCCACACTGGCCTTTATGCGATGTATCTCACAGGAAAGACAGAGAACCTCGATAGCATAAAATCTTTTCTAGGTTGGTATCGAACTCATATTCATTGCGTACGAGGAAAAGAGTCTAACTGTTCCACCGCATATGCCACCTGCCCTTAAAGTAACAAAGCTATAGGCCACGAATTCAGCCTTTCTGTTCACAACTGCGCATGAAATGTGTTTCAAATAGCCTGCCAGAGTGATGTGTAAAAATACACGCAAGGTAAGATGGTTTAGTGGTATGGTTTTAATTTAAGCAGCTGTTCAGGTGTGTCTGGCGTAAATAGCCATGTGTTTGTGGCATGTCTCATTTTATACTGATAATATTTCTTAACTTTTGTTTATGAGAAAGGGAGCCAGCTGCTAAAAGCAGCTAAAATGACATCTTTATTGTGGTTTGAGAGCTTTTGATATTTTTTTCAGGTGGTCATTATTTCTAGTGCTCAAAATTAAGGTTCCTGTGTAAGCGAAACATACACGTCTGCACTTTAACTATGCAAAAAAAGTAAACGAGAAAAAAAGAATTATCGCTTGATGTACTTCAGATACGTTGTACAATATCGAAAATGAGTCATGCCTTTACTTTCTCTTTACTCGCCGAATTTAGTTTGTTTTGAGTGGTTATATCTACAGAAAAGATTAAAGCAAAGGGACAAGGAGAATGGATAACTTGTTAATGTGGAGATAGTGTAGTGCCTTTGATGCACGTGAATCTTTCTAATTAAGATATGAAAAAAATGTGAATATATTCGATACATTGTAACGGAAAATTGAAAGTAAAGAGCAGTTAACCTAAGTCTTCAATGAAAATGTTAGAAACATAATAAAGTCACCTTTCTTCTCATTGTATTTCTTCCACCTCGTCTTATGTATATTTTTCAATGTATTTTCTTCTTTGTCTCCAGACTGCTATGTTTGTTTCTTTTTATTGTGATCTTGTTAATTTTTAATCTGTCCTGTCATCAGTTCTTCTCTGTAGTGTTGTGTTTTGGGGGTTTCTTTTAATTTAAAAATGGGGAGTCAATGAGTTCATGTGTTAAGTGTGAGTATGTGTTTTTTTGTACACAAACTTACTCACATGTACGTGTTCGCGTGTGAGAGCGCTCGTGTGCTGTGCATGAAACAGAGACATTAAAGAGTCTAGTGTGGGTGTGAAAGTGGGAGTTCGCTTTGTGCGTGAGTGCCTTGGCTTGAGAAATTTGATTACATTTTCCATTTATTCATTTTTAATCAGTTCTCTTCCCAAACGCATGAATGCTAATGTTCAATTTTTAAGTATTCGTTCCTTCAAAATGCATTCATATTTCAAGAGTCCCCACATAGATAGAGACTTGGGATGCCACCTAGGCACTGGTTGTGAATACTACATCCCCCCATGTCAGCACTGTGTTAGGGAAGCAAGAGGAAACGAATGGACAAGACCCAAAATAAAAACCAACAAAAAAACAAAGAAAGTTTGAGAGCTAACAAGACAGTTATGCAGAAACTTGAGCAAAAAAAATGGAAAGAAAAGTGCGATGAAGTTATGAAGACCCCATTCACGGATTTTTATAATCCCAGCCCATTTCCATGACAATCTGCAGAAATCCGTATTTTTTCCCGTCTGTTTCTTCCTGTCATCCGGGCCCTCGACCAGCCTCAGAATTTGATGAAGAAGAATCGATTTTCTGCCCGACCGTAAAATACATCCTAGTTTGGTTTCTGTCGTGGCTCCACCTTAAAAGCCCGCTTTTCTTACTTTAATTTTAACCCTCGAACCTCTCCAGTTCTTCTTCCTTTTTTCTTTTAACACTTGTTCCAACATCAAACCGTTGTTATGTACGTACGGCTCTCAGTTTGATTTAGGAAAAACTCATCACTCAGACAAGCTTTAACCTGTCGTGCTGTGTGGCCTGTTGAGGAAAAAGTAATGGAACGTCAAAAGATTACCTTTTTCCAGTTGTTGAGTTAAAGTCTGTTGGTGCAAAATCGATTCTGGTCGTGTTTGCTTGTTGTTCCACCAGTGAAATATGTTCCAGTAATTCTCATTATACTTTCTCCATCTCTTTTCCCGAATCCTCAACCACACGCAGACACACACACTCACACACAAACACACACAAACACACACACACACACACACACAAACACACACACACACACATACACATACTCACAC